TATTTGATGTTTTAGACGGGTGTTGAAATGGAAATGGTTGAACAAGTATCCCTATTAGAATGGTTTGCTAATAATTATAAAAACTTTGGTATGTGTCTAAAATTAACTTTATAACAGTTACAGAATATTGCCTTTGTGTTACTGATAAAATATATATTGTTTTCTCAGCGTCAAACTAGGCATAGAGAAATTTGACATAGCAATTGGTCTATCATTCATAATCATAGTGATAGTACTCAAGGTTTTGTTTAACATGTAATTGACTTATTTTACTAATATCCTTCTAGAGAACACCTTAATGTTAGTTATTCCATTGTCGAGTGCACATGTAATTTGTCAAAGAGTCTAAAATGAATCTGTTTTCTATCAACAATTGTTTCATTTACAGGTGCCACATTAGAAATTATTACAGATAAATCCCAAGAAGGTGCCCAATTTGTGAGAGGATTTGGTGGAATTGGAGGTAAGAGATAAATTATTTCAGATCTATATAAGGCGACACCAATTTATAAACTTGGATTACGGGCCCGCCGACCTGCTTTTTTGACGAATCCCAATAAAAATAAAAATGAAAAAATCTATTATTTTTTTATTCTTACTGTGTCCGCCGATGTAAAAATTTCAACACGAAATCCTAAAGGGACGTAACTCGGTTGATAAGTTGTACTCGCTTAGCGAAAGCGTTCACTGTTGAATGGTCAGTCAGTGTTAATGAGACAAAAGGCTAGTTCCACGATGTTTTTGATAACGGTACTACAAAGCAAGTACGACTATGCAAATGAGGTGCCTGCAAATTTTTAAAATAAATCTTGAACTGAAGCTATTTTCATTCGAAAGATAAATTGGTTTGTAATATGTTGATTGTTGGTTAGATAGTTTTAAAATTTGTTGTATTATGAGATTAGTTCTGGAAATCTGGAAAAGCCTTTCAAAAAATAAAATAAACCAACAACACATGATTTGTGATTTGGTTCGTTCCAGTCTGCAAATTTTGTAAAAATTCTCTCGTCGGCCATTATTCAATTGTGATGAAAATACATCTATGTGAAAATGTGAGAAAATGAGCGTTGAACTCGATGTTTATATCAACGTCTCCAAGGGCCGTGTCACAAAACGAACTATAGTGCGTGCCTCTGATGACGAAAATGTTGGTAATTTGTTGACGCGCTCCGGATGGCAGGACACAGAAGAAGTAACCGTCTCCAGCGTTAAAGCCGGTATCGAAATAGACCATGAAACTACCGATGTAGAGATAGTTACACCCGTAGCAGTTTTAAGACAATTTAATTTTAAATCCATAAGGTTTAATCTGGTGTTTGTTTGTTTCCAAAGGATATAAATAAAGTTTTAAATACATTCCTTTTTCGTCTTCTTGAAATGCAGATTTTTTTTTATTTATTTTTATCCCCCCCTGCTCCCTGCTTTTTTCAAAAGTTTTGCCCGTAATTCAACTAATTAAATTGGTGTGGCCTAATAGAATTTGGAGAAAAAGAGTTCTGGAGTAATAAATAGTTTGTAGTAATGTCTCTTCAGATTTGTCAAGCTCTTAAATTCTTGGAAAAAATTTTATGGAATGTTTGCTATGATGACTATTTAGTTCTGTCAATCCAATGATAAACATTTGATTACAACTTTTCACATGGCTGAGCAAACTTTTATTAATGACATTAAAAAGGCAGGATTGAATGTATGTCTTTTGCTATGAAATGTTTGCTATGATGACTATTGAGATCTGTCAATCCAATGATAAAGATTTGATTACAACTTTAAATCTAACTGAGCAAACTTTTATCAGTAACATTACATGGACAGGAAGGAAATCAAACATATTTAAAAGAAATAACAGGAATAGAATTTTCTAAATTCATTGTAAGAATATTCGCTATGAAATGTTTGCTATGATGACTAGTTAGATCTGTCAATCCAATGATAAAGATTTGATTATAACTATTAAATATATCTGACAATATAAAATAGTAAAGTAGATAAATATTAATACCACGAGAACAAAAAATGTGCACTTGGTGAAAAAAATTCATGTTTTTTTTTCCGTTATGGTTGCAGATTGTTTTGTTTATTTTAATGGTTTGATTTTTTAGCACATAAACGCTTGCAAAAATAACTGATAATCAAATTAGGAAACAAAATTTAAACTCAAATGAATCTATATGCTGGTATTGGATTTTAAAAAAATAAAGCTCTTTAAATTGGTGGTATATATCATTCAATATAATCAAAGGGACAGATTCATCATCAGTTTGTCTAATCATACCTTTGTATCAAAAACAGGAATTTTTTAGCTAATCTTATCGGTTATAGCGTTCATAGTCAAAATTTCAGCCTTCCAACACATCTAGAATTATCAGCATTCAAAAGTTTAAAAGACAACTCGTCTTATATTGAGATTCTGTCATATAAAGAAATAGAAAGTGAAATTGAAAGTTTAAGGTATTTTTGAAGAAATGTGATTTTTGTACATTTCTTGTCCTTCTGAAGACTATACACAATAATGGCGAAACTGTTCCTATTGCCCTATTTTTTTCCAACCAATGTGTACTCTACTTCTTGCTTTACCTTGAAAGGAATATACATCTGATATAATGTTAGTTAAATAAGATGTTGTTTATATTACAGGTATATTACGGTACCAAGTAGATTTCCAGATGTTTCATCCAGACTTGCAGGAATATGATGATTTTGATATAGATGATTATTAAATAATTAGCACCAATACAAACTTAATACTTTATGGTACATTTGGGTAGTGGACTGGATTAAATGATAATAATAGTCTCTTACTTTTAACTCCCTTGAGTCAACTCAATATATGAAACAGTCCAGAATGGACATGTTGACCAAGGGAATTTGTCATTGACTTTGATGCTGACAAAAATATTTTTTGAAACTTCATGGATTGTCCTCAGCAGCTGAAAAACAAATTTATCAGCTTTTAATCAATATGATTTTGTCATTTTGCTGCAGACTGCAATCCAAATGTACTATACTTAAAGCCAATCTTTATTTGCTGTTTCTTACAATTACAGTTTTAAGTTATTATTATCAAAGGTTAAAATGTTAATATGTGTTGAAAAAAAATCAAATTTGTGATCTTAATATAAGCTTTTGACCAGTTTTCTATTCAGAACCATGTTATTAAAGGCTTAATCTCAGCCTTCATATTGACAAAAGCTCTAAAGCTGTCAACTCGTATCATAGAAGAACGTCATTCCCAATATTCCTGGTAGCGGCTTTGGATATATCTATGAATTAAATTTCCAATATTTTGAAAGTAAGCTTACCCTGTAATCTGGAGCATTCAATCAATTGTTGTGCCAGTATCAGATACTACTAAACTGTTAACCGATCTCTTCGTTAAATTTATTTGTG